TAACATCGGCTTCCTTTTTTTGTAAGGATTAAAGCAGAGGGAACAATTGAAACTGGCCTGTTTGGGAAATTGGCTGTTGTCTCTCCTAATTTCTCGGAAGGTCAGAGAATAACTCAGTTTTGCTTTGGTGAACGAGGAACCTCAGCACGAGTGACTCCGTTTTGGTTCTTAGTCTGGTCTTTTGAGGCCTAGTGCAGGAGCTCAGTCCCAAACAATGGCCTATAACTTTGATTTAACACAGGTAACAGTTCTGGTCGGGGCGTCCCAGGACATCATCCCCCAGCTGAAGAAGAAGTATGACGTGGACACGCTGGACATGGTTTTCCTCGACCACTGGAAGGAATGCTACCTGCCAGACACGATCCTCCTGGAGGTGAGCCACCACCCGCCTTGCCAGGATGGGCCTCCATGCTGCTGCAGGGGCCACCAGCACCACCTGGTCGGTTGGCCTCAGTCTCTCTGAAGAGCCAGGTGCCCCAGCTAAGCCCTGCTGAGGGCGGCCCTTGGGGACAGAGCTGGGCCCTGGGGGGCAGCCGTGGGCACAGACCTCACTCCTACTGAGGTGCCACAAGGCCAGGGAGCACAGAGGGCTGAAGAGGCCCTGGGGAGGAGAGGGGAGGAAGGGGGTTCTGGGCAGGGGAAGCTGGCCTAGGGGTCTGGCTGGGTGGCCAATTGAGAATGGGGGTGCCAGTCCACCTGCACAGGGCAGGGTGCTACCAGGTAGTGGGGTGAGCGCCATGGACCAGAAGGCCTGGGCAGAAAGGGCACAGGGCTGAGGTACAGAGGCAGAGCTGTTCTGGGCTGGGCGGTGGCTTGTGCTGGCTCAGGGGGAGGGGTGTCTCCTGCAGAGCTTCCTCCTGGGTCCCTTGTGCAGCCCCGCACCCCACCCCTAGACTACCGGCCCTGCCCAGTGAGGACCCCCAGTGCCTCCCTGAGTGAGGCTGAGCAGTGACTGTTGTCCCATCCTCAATCCCTGGATGGCTGCGGCTTGGTGACCCTTTGTGAGCTGACACTTACGGAGTTTCATACTGATGACATGCTAACTTGTCCCTCCCTGGTAGTCGAGAAGGGGACACTGAACAGCTCCTTGGCCCTCCCCCAGGGCTCAGGATGCTCGGCCTCCCCACGGCCTCCCCGCCCAGTGCCAGTGTGGGGTCGTCCCACGTTGCTGTCTGGTGCCTGCTCACCTGCAGCTCTCCACAAGCCAGATGCTCCACTGTGGGACCATGGGCATGAGGGGACAGCCACCCAGGCCCTGGGCACAGATGGGAAGGAGCCAGAGTTTTACAGACCTGGTGGGTGCAAAAGGGCACAGAACGTTCTGGGAACAGGATTAGTCAGGGCATGGAGGGCTTGGAGCAGGTGAGGGTGGGCTTAGACCTGTTAGATCCAGAAGATCCCTGGCAGCCTTGTGGGGAGTGGAGCGGGATGGCTGGCGGAGGGCGTTTCAGAGGCCCCCAGACCATATAGGCGGTGCTGAGCCCTGCGAGTGGAGCACGAGGGAAGACCTGGGGCCCAGAAGGTGACCCGGAGGACCTGTGTCGGGAAGGGAGAGGGCAGTGGGGACTAGATGGCCTTGGGCCAGGACAGGGAGGCTGCGAGGAGCCCGTCTGGGCAGGGGGATGCCCAGCCCCAGCAGCGGAGGGGGGAAGCTGCAAATTGGGTTTGAGGGCAGAGAGCAGGCGGTCGGCCGGGCAGTGCTTGGTCGGGAGAGACAGACCCACAGCTGGGCTGCGTCCCAGGGGGTGGATCTCCGCAGCTTTGGTGTGTGTGATAATTACAGAGGCCTGCATTGATAGAAAAGTAGCAAATATTGCAGTTTAGTAACTAGGAAACTAATAGTGTTCTCAGTGCTGCTTCTTCAAAGCTGTAATTATCTAAAAAGCAGAGAAGACACAAATTGGGAATGGCTGTATTTTTTAAACGTGCATTCTGCAGACCCACAGCTGGGGCTCTGCAGCCCCTGGCTGGTGCAGGGTCAGGGCCAGCCTGGCTCTGCAGAGGCCCAGCCCCTCCTCCTCCTCCCCCCACCCAGTCGGCTTAGTGTGTATGGGTGGTGGGGGGAGGTAAGGGAATAAGGGGCAGGTGGCAATTCAAAATTGAATGGCTGCTTTGAAGGGGTGGCCTCAGTCTTTTGTCACATAGGCATCTCCTGTTAGATCCAGAAGATCCCTGGCAGCCTTGTGGGGAGTGGAGCGGGATGGCTGGCGGAGGGCGTTTCAGAGGCCCCCAAACCATATTGGCGCGGTGCTAAGCCCTGCGAGTGGAGCACGAGGGAAGACCTGGGGCCCAGAAGGTGACCCGGAGGACCTGTGTCGGGAAGGGAGAGGGCAGTGGGGACTAGATGGCCTTGGGCCAGGACAGGGAGGCTGCGAGGAGCCCGTCTGGGCAGGGGGATGCCCAGCCCCAGCAGCGGAGGGGGGAAGCTGCAAATTGGGTTTGAGGGCAGAGAGCAGGCGGTCGGCCGGGCAGTGCTTGGTCGGGAGAGACAGACCCACAGCTGGGCTGCGTCCCAGGGGGTGGATCTCCGCAGCTTTGGTGTGTGTGATAATTACAGAGGCCTGCATTGATAGAAAAGTAGCAAATATTGCAGTTTAGTAACTAGGAAACTAATAGTGTTCTCAGTGCTGCTTCTTCAAAGCTGTAATTATCTAAAAAGCAGAGAAGACACAAATTGGGAATGGCTGTATTTTTTAAACGTGCATTCTGCAGACCCACAGCTGGGGCTCTGCAGCCCCTGGCTGGTGCAGGGTCAGGGCCAGCCTGGCTCTGCAGAGGCCCAGCCCCTCCTCCTCCTCCCCTACCCGGTCGGCTTTGTGTGTGTGGGTGGTGGGGGGAGGTAAGGGACTAAGAGGCAGGTGGCAATTCAAAATTGGATGGCTGCTTTGAAGGGGTGGCCTCAGTCTTTTGTCACATAGGCATCTCCACAGGGCTGTTTGAGTGTCCTCATAACATGGCAGCTGGATTTCCCCAGAGCCAGAGATGACACAATGAGAGACACAGATAGACCGAAATAACGAGAAATCTCTAAGCGACAGTGACTGAAGCATATCTTGCCCTGATCTATTGCTCTCCTGAAGACAAATACCTCTTCTCAATGTTTCTCTATTACTTTGTGCGATGTAAGCAGATCCTCCTCCCAGCGTAGACACACAAGCGTCCTATGAGGGTTCTCCCCTGAGGACAGACCCTGGGGGCGACTACCTGTGGCTGCATATCCAGTAACAATTCCTTCCTTCTGCACAGAGTACAGGCTTAGGAACCCCAATGTCCTCCCAGGGCCCAGGCACCAACAGAGATGGGGGTCTGTAAAAGCATGTCCAGAGCAGAACCCCAGGGACACACATGTCGGTGGAGAGGTTGGCCCCACCCCCAGCCCCGCAGGGTCACCCTGGTCAGGCTGGTCTTGCCTCCAGTGGCTGAGCTGCCCCTGTCCCCTCACCTCTCACTTGTAGGTGCCCGTGTTCCCAGCACTGGGTGTCTTAGGGACCCACTGGCCTGTGGCTCCAATGTTTCCTCCACTCAGCTAGCATTTATTGAGCACCTATTGTGTGTGCCACATGCTATACTAGGGACTAGGGATGGATACAGGAGTGAGGGAAGGAGTAAAAGGTCCCTGTCCTCATTGAGCCAGCACTCTAGAGGTGGGACTGGAGCACAGCCCTTTCCTGTAGTGGCCACTGCCAGGGAGAAAATGGAAGGCCTCAAGGAGTCCCAGGCCTCAGGGCCAGGTACAGGCCAGCGTGTGGAGTCTCAGCCTGGTGAAGGGCAACTGTTCTGGTTTGAGGTGGGTTTGCCTGGTATCCCTGACCCTTACCCATTTCTGTCTGTCCCCTGAAGGAACATGGCCTGTTGCGGAAGGGGACCGTGTTGCTGGCCGACAACGTCATCTGCCCGGGAACACCAGACTTCCTGGCACACGTGCGCGGGAGCAGCCGCTTTGAGTGCACACACTACCCCGCCTTCCTGGAGTACACGAAGGTGGTGGACGGCCTGGAGAAGGCCATCTACATGGGCCTGGGCAGCCCGGCGCAGCCTTGACGGCCCGCCCTGCTCTGCGCTCCCTCGCCAGCCTGGTTCTGAAGGGCACGATGGACGTGCTCCCACTAACCCTACTTCTGCGGTCCTGGGGTCTGTCCTTAAATGCAAAGCATGCTGCAGGCCTGAGCCCTGCCCACGTTAACCTCTCGGTGCTGCAGCTCCACGCTGTCTTTTCTTTAACGACAAATCCCAGGCTCTTTACTAAAATCAGCTAGCTGTAATAATCTTATATTCTAATTTCATATTTTAAAAAGAGAAATCCCGGATCTAGATATTTAGATACGAGAGGTCAGCTTAGCACCACGCTTCTCACCCTCCACGTGGCCCCCATACCCTGCTGCGCTCCGCTCCAGCACCAAACACACTGAGCTCCCCTTGACGGGATGATAATGCCATGGGCCTGGCACAGGGCTGGCTGAGTTCTGGGTATTACACCTGGCCCAATAGTGGAGAGGGAGCCAGCCCTACTCAACACTGCTCCTTCTGTGGCCAGGCCAGGGGCACCTGTTAGCACCACATGCATGTCTGCCTGCCTGGGAAACTCTGAGCCCTGCCCACGTTAACCTCTCGGTGCTGCAGCTCCACACTGTCCTTTTTTTAACAACGAATACCAGGCTCCTTACTAAAATCAGTTAGCTGTAATAATCTTATATTCTAATTTCATATTTTAAAAAGAGAAATCCATGGGCCAGCCTGTGGCTCACTTGGGAGAGTGCGGTGCTGATAACACCAAGGCCACAGGTTTGGATCCCTATATAGGGATGGCTGGTTAGCTCAATGGGTGAGCATGGTGCTGACAACACCAAGTCAGGGGTTAAGATCCCCTTACTGGTCATCTTTTTTCTTTTTTTGTTTTTTGGGTTTTTTTGTGTGACCAGTAAGGGGATCGTAACCCTTGGCTTGGTGTCGCCCACACCGCGATCAGCCAGTGAGCGCACCGGCCATCCCTATATAGGATCCGAATCTGCGGCCTCAGCACTCCCAGCACCGCACTCTCCTGAGTGAGCCACAGGTTCGGCCCCCGTCATCCTTTTTAAAAAAATAAAAAGAGAAATCCAGGATCTAGATATTTAGATACGAGAGGTCAATTTAGCACCACCCTTCTTACTCTCCACGTGGCCCCCGTACCCTGCCGTGCTCCACTCTGGCACCAAACACACTGAGCTCCCCATGACAGGATGATAATGCCACATGCTCGGCCCAGGGCTGGCTGAGTTCTGGGTATCACACCCGGCTCAGCAGTGGAGAGGGAGCCAGCCCTACTTAACACTGCTCCTTCTCTGGCCAGGCCAGGGGCACCTCTTAGTGCCACATGCATGTCTGCCTGCCTGGGAAACCAGCACAGCGCAATTGACCAGACTTACACCCATCTCTGACCGGGTAGGCACTGGGGACAGGTGGACACAGGACCAAACAGCAGTGTTTGGCCCTCTGGGCCCACATGTGACACTGAGTGGAAGCACCTCCATCCCCAATCCCACCTGGCCTTGCCTATGGAAGAGGAAGCAGGCTCAGACTGTCACAGCATTTCTGCTGGTTGCCACCTACAAGTGACAAAGCAGAGTTGGTTTGTGTCTACCTAATCCAGGGCTGTCCCCAACCCCCCCCTCTGGCCCTCCAGCCCCAACTCTCCCAAGGAGTCAGACTGCTGGCCACCTCAGAGGCTCCCAAAGGCCCCAGTATGGGCTGAGTTCCTAGACCTGGGACAAAGATCAACCCTGTCCTGGCTGAGCCCACCTGTGCCTAAACCAGCCACTGGCCAGACTCTACTCCAGGGCTTTTGGCCCAACTAAGCAGCTAGAAGCCAGTTTGTTCCTCTGGACACATGGAGAGATCAGCAAAAGGCCCTAGGGGCCAGGAGCAGACCCCTACCCACCACTGAGCATAGCAGGTGGATGCCCACCCGCCCCTTCCCCACCCAGACAGATCCAGGCCTCTGCTCTTAGCACCCAGGAAAGAGAAGACAGAAGTTCCTTTGCTGTTTTTTTTTTTAATTTTTAGATTTTCTTACAAAAATTTAGATGTTTACCAATACAGTCTTATTTTGGTTTTGTTTTTAATGCTTTATGTCAGTGTTTTTCTTCTGTGTTTAAGTCACAAACAGCAGGCACTGAACAGCAGCCTCCCCGCCCCCCTGCCCCCACCCCCCCC